AGAATTTTCCAAGTAGTTTAAAGGGGCCAGCGGCATATCTTCTGCTGTTTTCAATTCAACATAAATAATGTTACCGTTATCCAAAACTTCTTTTACACTGTAGCGAAATTGATCATGTAAAATAAACGGAAAACCTTCAGATGTCATTGTAGAAAATAATTCAAAAATGCTGCTTATTCATTCGTGTCTAATGAAAACGACGCTTGCGAATCGCATAATGGCGGCGTGAATGTAGCTCTTGTGAAGTTGTTATATAAATCCTCAAAAACCCAAAAGCAATAATAGTTATTTATGTATCAAGGGAATTATGAGGGTGTTTATACCCCAGGGACACCAATTGCCCGTGGGTATTAACACCTGATAATTCCCGTGGTACATAGATAATTTTGTATCCTACTGAATTTAATGTATTCGGTCTATTTTTATAAAGGAATAAACCATAAATCAAAAGTTTCACCTATTCAAGGTAAAAGCGGGAGTTATGGAAAATTCTTAACTCCCTTGGGAGTTATGATATCCTTAACTCCCGCGCGGGAATTATGAAATCCTTAACTCCCTTGGGAGTTAAGACCCTGTTTATGATTATCGTAACAAGCTATTATATGGTTATAATAGTTCAGTAGGATATAAAATATTTATTAGGTCATGCCATAATGCACCACGTTTAAGTGAAGTTTGGCAAAACGCACCTGTGTTTGATCCGACCGAGCTTTGCGGAAGATGCCATGGCAAAATATACCGCGTTTTAGTTACTTTTGGCAAAACGTACCAGTGTTTGGTCTCGACCAATCAGAGCAGAGAAAATTGTACTATTGACTATATAATGGTACATTCTGCTTATTTGCGCACGGGTGCAACTCGTTTATCTATCTGTCTGCTTCCAACTCATAGTGTACAAACACAGTGCACGCAGGTTTCCGCTTACCGGTACCCAGCGCCGACTCGCGCTTATAAGCGCGAAAAATGAATGCATGTTTTTAAATCGGCTAGTACACAGTGAAAAGCAGGTTGTCGCTTTAACCGGAATGAAAATTTAGTTTATTTCTGCTTCCGCACGCGTCGCGGCAGTGTCCTTTCAGTTCTTGTGACGGATAAGGAGTTACTAATAGCTGCAATTTTTGAAAAAACCCTCATTTGTGACAAAAGGCATAAGCAGCATAGCAATTGAAATGTAGTCGACAAATATTGCAGGGAAATAATATTCTCCATACAGGTTTATTTCACGATTAAGAATATGGTATACCAATTCTTTTCCTTTTTAATTTAGTATGCACAGAATCTAGAGCAATCAAATCATCATCATCCGGCAGGCGGCAGATTTGAAGTTTAAAAAGATTTTCTCGCTTTTGCAGGTATTCACTCTGTGCTATCTCGGCGCGAGAAATCTGCGCAGATCGGCGCTACTTACCAGTAAGCGAAAAACCTGCTTGCACTGTGTTTGTACACATACGATGTAAGTTCAGCCTGTGTTACAGAACCGGCGTTGCCAGTAGTCATTTTTAGTCTTGAATCTCCAACTTTTTAAAGCAAAGTCATAACAGGATCAAATATCAATCCGTAACAATTTGGGAACCAAATTGGAGGGAACACCGGTGGTAGATTGGTCTCCTAGATATTGGCGACACAACATTTTGTTTACTGTAATGTCTATCTGTGTTAATATGTCATTGAGCATGACTCATTCATACAAATATTTTTCTGTAAAATAATTTCGTCTTAAGTTTTTTCCATAAGGATTTGCCCGCAATTTTTGCTTCAAATATTCATTACCTATCATGAATATATTGCTTAATTATATCAACACATCCACCAACAAAACCAAAAATTAGGGAAATGTGTCGCATAGGAAATTACACTGATTGAGTTGTCCTACTGAATACTGATAAACTATTTTTAATTTGGAATAATAGAAGAAAACAATTTAACCTGTAACAAAAATATGAGCAGTCGTTACGCCATCAGCGTATACTGAATATTTTTATCATATACCGGGTGTCCCAGATAGTGGCTCGCCCCTATAACTTTTTTGTTTTTTAAGAAAAACAAATGAAATTCGGTGCATAAGTATTTAACAAAAACATACATTATTTGAAATACTCAACTAATTTCTGTTTCTTATGGTTTGACTGGAAACCACCCTAATTTTCTTATTTTGAATGGGACACCCGGTATATTTTCCCTTATTTCAATAGAAAACTACATTACGAGGACAACGACATCGAATTTGTCACATTTTGTTATTTTATTTCCAAATTATTTAAATTTTTACTTTTTGATCTAGATCGCCCTGAATTAGTTAAAATGCTTAATTTTGTTCAAAAGAACTTGGGAAAGTTTGTTTTGATATTCTTTTGAATTTTATATCATCTACAGGCGAATCGAAAACTGAATTCCTTTCAACTTTAAGACATCTTCAAAATCTGGGTATTAGCTTAAACGATGAGGATCTTTTCAGCTCTATACAGAGTTGAAATAACAGCCGACGCAAAGCAGGATAATTGTTTTTCACATTTATACAAGCTTTCTTCCTAGCTATTTATGCTGGTAGTTCTACATACATATATTTTCGTAAATGTATAATAATTATTAGTATAGCAAAATTGTAACCTAGAATCGGCTAAGAAGTTCCGTAAATATATTAATCAAAATACTAATATTTTTGTTTCGGTTAAGGAAAAGGAGTCCAAAGTCTATCAAATTATTATCTTTAAAAGAAAGTTTTTAAAAAATACACCATAATTAAACTGTAGTGAATACCAAAGTTTAAATTTATACGATATCGGCAAGAGCCGCATTTTATATTTTAAAAAGTTGCTTTACTTCGTAGACAGTTTAAATTTGATGTTTTACTACAAAAAAATATTTTGAACCAAAAATAATTTAATGTGGCAAGCGGCAATAAGGCTAGCGTTTAAAATAACTTTTCAGAAAATAATTTTTAATTAAAAACTAAATTAACATTTTTTTCTTTCAGTAAAACGTTTATTTTGCAGAACATATTACACATTTCAGATTTTTAATTAAAACATGGTTTATAAAAATTAGTTTTCTTCAAATACAATGCATGCACTTAAAAATATTCATCAAATAGAGGGATGACTATTTCTATTTACCACAAGAAAATAGTACCGACTGGATATTGAACAGGGTAAATCTTTATTTATGACGAAATATAAGCTCTATTATATTCCCATAAAATAGGAAAGCACGCCCCAGAATAACGCCGATTATTCCGCAATAAATTTTACTATCCTGGATTTTCATTATATTTATGCTAATATTATTTATTGTCGCTCTCGACGTTTGAAGAGGCTTTATCGTATATCTTTTGTCATAATTTGAATTTGATGCTTTAAATAATGGTCTTTTTTGTAGCCATTAATTTTCCGGGTCAATAGTTATTTTGTGCATGAAATTTCATCCATGTCACATCGCTCAGTCTAAAAACTTAACGATTTTCTAATTGGCTTGTTTACTGGTTCGTAATTAGCCAAGAAATGATAATTTCCTGATTTGAGATTGGGAGATTTTCTATATCAAACTGCTTTCATTTTTCATCGATTCTACCAAAAGTATTTATTTTTGATGAAATCCAGTAAAGGCATCATTTTTTATTGCGAAAGGTCCCGCTTCATATTTATGTTAAGGAAAAGCTAATTTCTTTGTTTAAAAAATGATGATATCCTAACCAAAATGTTGACAGCCATAGATTAGGACGTAGGAATATAGGAATCCTTTTGAAACCTACATTTCAGGAAATAAAATACAAATCGAAGGTCAGCACAAAATTTTAGCGAGTAAACCTAATAAATATTTTATTTACAATGACAACTTTTCTACCCTTCGTTCTATTGAGGAAACGCGCTGCCTGATGAAATCGCATTTTTTCAAAGAGAAATAGGTCAATTTGATTGTGTCAAGTCTCAATTTGATATTGAAAAGGTACGCTGCACGGTTGCTTCATCAGCTATATTATTAATATATATAATTTTTTTTTTTTTTTTAAAGAAAAAATGTCTTACCGGAGAAATCGGCTATTTTTCAAATAACTATAAATTTTGCAGCATTCTCATACTTTAAAGAAAGAATTAGTTATAGAATATGGAACTCAATTTTTTAAATTTGTAAGTCACAGATAGCTTTCAATACTATCTATACTTAAGAATTTTAAAAATGTTTCCTCAATATTTATATTTTTAGAGTAAGCGCATATTCTTGTAGGTATTTTTTTTACATACTTGATTAAAATTAAATAAAGAAAGAGCTTTGTGTCATATAGAGATAATTTCTATTTCGCTCTTTAAGTAGATCTTACCGAAATTTCATTAGGCTACCATGTAACCTCAAATCCTTCATCATTTAATTAAAACCCTTGAATTTTTTTATCGCAGAACACTATCACCCGTATGCGTGATTGAACACCCGTTACTCGCTTGTGCACTAGCCTAATATTATTATTTGTCTCTCAAAGATTTAATTGCTGAAATTTGTCAATGATAGCTATCTTTATTTATATAATTTTTTTTTGGATTAAGAGTCTCTATTCTATTCGCCAGGTTTAGATAAGTTATAATTCCTGTTGATTCGTAGAAACATAATGAAATCGCAATCACATAACTTATGTAGTGTGTGCTCGAAAGAGCATTAGAATTCAGAAATTGTTTTATATGTAAAGTAATCAATTTTTCAAAATTAAATGAAATTTACCAATGTGTCTAATATGGTTGTACCGCTCATTACCTTTCTTTTTTTTTCACCTTGAAAGCTTTTGAAGATGATCATTTATCTATTTCAAACCCTAAATAAGAAGAGCTTGTCAAAAGTAAACAATTTAAAACCTTCTCGCAATTTTTGTTGTTGCTTTACCAACCTTAAAATATGCCCTTACGATTTTATATTACAGTTTCTATGCTATTCTGATTTTCTTGCTTAAAGTACGTAAACAGCATTTTTAAAACGGCCCGAAAAATTTTAAGACAAAAAAGTCGACATCTACTTACCGTTCCATCTCCGATATTGTTGATAACACACGGAACTAGAGCGGTTGACCCCGTTTGTGCTGTCACGACAGTGTTATTTTCAGTATCAAAGTGAACTGGAGGACTCTCCAAGGGCGGAAACGAGGCCCCGAGCTCGTTTAGGACGTCTCCGCCGTCTGCCAGATCCAGGTCGACGGAATCTGCAAAATAATTTTTCTAGTTAAAATTTTTCGTGTAGACACAAAAACTACAACTACAACAATAATTGTCGTTTGTACGATTGCAAACATTGTTTCAGTACATTTTGTACGAGTTTTATCCCTTCGGTGTCGTTGATAAATGTAAGCCGGTCGCGTTTTTATAATTAATTTACGTTTCTTTCCGTTTCTTGCGTTATAATAAGTTTACGTTTCTTTCCATCTCTTATAATTATGCATGTAGCAGATTACTTAATCTTGATCTATTTATTGCCATACAACTACAATAGAGAGTTTCACTATTGTTTGAATTTCAACGTTTTGTTATTTTCAAACAGTTATATGAACCAAAAAAAACTTATATATCTTGCTCTTAATTGGACTCAAAAATATTGACATTCTTGATAACATTTTTGGAAGAAATGGTCGATATTTCTAACACGTGTTTAAACGAAGCTCCAAGCACACTAATGAGAAATCATGCGCTAAGTTTTGAATTGATTCTGGTAACTGCCAGATTACACAATACGTGTAGCTTTACTCTATAAGACAATGGAGGAAACCTGACTCCCAATTATTGGAGACCTCGCTAATGGGCAGTTTCACAATATTAGAATTTCATTGCTTTATTATTTTTAATCAGTTATATGAACCAAAATAAAAATACCCTAGCTTCCAGTTGGCTTTCAAATATCCTATTTTCTAAATAAACAATTTTCAAAAATGCTGTTTTTGTTCATATTTAAACGTACGAGAATGGAGCCATTCTATGACGTAGACACCCACAAGCGACCAATTAGAATCGTTCACAATGGCTCCCGCTCCCAAACACATCTTTATTGCTTTCCTTGTCTAAGCTCTGAAGAGTGACAATGATGAAATTCCTCATTGATTATTTGCAGCTTGTTCGTTTAACTCGCTGATCAACATGACCTAATTTTATGTTGATACAAAATTTCAAAAACCAAAACAAACTGTGAAATTAAAGGTTATAATATTTATCATAGGACATTAGACAATTCGACGTTACCAAACTGACTGCCGTGATTTCTTGAAACTAAAATGACGCAAGAGCAAATCCTTTCTCAACACTACAAAAACTGTTGTAATACAACTCAACGTACTAACAATTGAAAAATTACATTAATTTTATAACTGCAGTCCAAATAATACAACAGAAACATTATACAGTGTGTATCAGCCAAATGGAATAAATTCGATAACAAATAAATGGGGAGCTTTTCGAAAAAAAGGTCAGACAGGTCGATTCTGTTTTTTTACTTCAGATTTTTTCACGCCAATTTTTTTATACAGGGTGTTCCCAAAACAGCCGACGGTTATAAGCTTTTTTTTTTTGAATGATAGCCCCTGTATATTATGTCATTTCTGAATTTTGCGGAAAATTCTAGGCATATTTCATGTACCATGCCATATACCTATCTTCAACTATTTCGGAAATATTGACAATAGAAAATTGAATTTTTTGAAAGCTTGCCAGGGGCTGTAAAACCTAAATAGTTAATTTTACAGCAAAACCGATCCAACATTCTCGTCTGTAGCTTCATTAGCTATGAATTTAACTGGAGATTAAATTCAAAGTTGATGTCAGTATATGGGAAACTAAAACAAGCATGTATGATCGGGTTTGCTGTAAAATCAACAGTCCGTCAAAGATGCAAAAAAGTCCATTTTCAATTGTCAATATTACCGAAAGAGTTGAAGATAAATATAGAACATGTATGTACATGAAATATATCTAGAATTTTTCGCAAAATCCAGAAATTACATAATATACAAGGAATATATTTTAAAAAATTAAATTGATAACAGGTACAGCTATTCTTGGAGCAGCCTGTATAAAAAAATTGTTCTGAAAAAATCTTATGCAAAAAATTCACAGATCTCGCAATCTTTGCATTTATTGGAGGGTGTTGAATACAAACACAATGTAAGTAAAAGCATATAAAATGAACATAATTTGGTATGGTTACATATAGTCTGGCTAGCCAAACGGCGAACTCAAAAAGAATTTGCTGCTATGCCAAACTTGACGGAAACAATAATAAACAAGTTGGTGACATATTTTTTTTGCAATATGGGCCGTGTAGTATTTTGAAATAGGAAAAAATCCGGCAACATTACGAAATGAAGGAAGCGGAGAGGCGTGATTATTTAGAGGTATGATTCTATTGGTTAGAGCCTGAACGACAGCATCAGTGGCGTGGTTATTCGTGAAACTCAAGAATTTTTTTCCTAATAATTTTTTGGTTTATTCCTTGGTGTTTTCGGTGCCACTGAACCCAAAGACATGGTTGTCATCAGGCGGTGTCAGTTGAGGTGTCAGTGAATATTCTTAGGTTACGTCCCACTTTTCTTCCCCCTTTCGTCTCTACCAAGTTACCACTTGCCAAACTATACTTAATTACATATATCGAAATTTCATACCACAAATTTTAGTCTTTCATTTGCTCTAGCAAAAAAAACTTTTCTATAACTACAAATATCATTTTGTATATTTTTATATTGACTACATTTCGTAAAAGATCTGACATCGTTTTTCTGCAAACACTACTGAACAATAAATATAAAAACATTTCGGCATCTCTCAGAGAAATTTAACAAAAGCATTATAATAGTATATTCTTCAACGAGCAAATAATGATAGCCGTTATTTGCGAGTAGAAGACTATACTTTCTCTTCGAACTTTTTGAAAGAAAATCATTAGTTTTTGTAAGAAATAACAATCATCAAAAGTCTCATTTTTTTTTTTTTAACTGAAGTTTCGTGATCTAACAGTAGACGTCAGTCATGTTTTGTTTGTATTGTCTTGTTGCGTGTATTCCAAAAATACGGATAATTTCATTGGTGGACAGGCCATGGATTCCGGGTTGGAATCCACGAGACGTGTAGAATTCGTATTATTAATCAGTTTAATATCGAGCAAGAATGAATGTATTTTCGCCCGAATGCACCGTTTGTTGATTTTAATCCTAGTTCCCCAGTCCCGTTTTTGTAAACCTTGGCCTATAGTTATGCACCGTCAGCAGATCAACTAATCCGGAGTGGAAGTTTGGCAACGTTGGCATCCCAAGAGTTTTTGATACTTTTCAAGTCAATTAACGTTAAAATATTGTCAGTTCTCAGTTTCGAATTTCAATTTTTACTTGTTTTTCATTCTTATTTTCTGAAAATATTCAAAATATCAAAATGACTGATGAAAACACCAAAAGAATCCCCAACTTTGCCCAGGGAGAAAGGCAGAGTCTCATGAGGATACTTTCAAAACTCGCTAATATCATCGAAGACAAAAAAAAACAAAGTTTCCAATGTCGGAAAGTCTCAAGCTTAGAACCGATTTACAGAAGAATTCAACAGCACTGCACCTATACTCTGCCATAGGACCGTCGAGCAGTACGAAAGGCTAGATACTAGCTATTATCTGAAGCCGTTATACCACTACCCACTACACTTGATATCGCCAAAAAAGTGCTTATGTAGCGGGGCAGTCCCCGTAGAATAAGTGGGATTTGAAGAAGGTGCATGAGGTGAAGTAATCTAGCTAGCCAACTTAGTGTTATTATTAACAGAAAGACAACATACTTTCTTCTATCTATCAAGTAACAAATCATTTCGGAATTCAGTTTCTTCTATGTTCTCCAGGAAATTGGAATCTATAGGTTTCGTAAGTAGAAATCTTCGAAAAAACGAGTGATAATTGTCCATATTGTCGGAATAATCACTTCTTTCGTAGACTGTACTCTGCGAGATCATCATCTATAAATATTTCGTCCTCTGAATCCATTTGACACCAGAATAATGAAAAAATTGTAAAAGAAACTTCAAAATCGGTGCCAAAAAATACTTTTAGGTTAGACACCGTTCCGCTAATCCACGCATTGTTGACCGATTAGATAATTTGAAGCTCAAGCTGAATTTTTCTTGCGGTGCATAAGAAAACTATATCTAATCCAGGTTTTCATAGCTAATCCTCGAAATTAGCTTACGGTGCATACCTGAGTTAGTCCCCATGTTTTCCCAATCGCTCTTTTCAGTGACATCAACGTCACTTCATGAAATAATTAGAGAGAACACTATAAATTGATCTACAAACTGATAACAAAATCATGGAAATCGGATAAAAAATAAAAAAGTTATAAAACATCAAAGTTAGGCCTAGAACATTCAGGGTGGTAGAATTTTATGCCGACGAGTGTAGTTTTAATATACTATATACTTCTAAATAGTGGCATCAATGTTTGTTCAAAACACGTACAGACCGAAGGCTCGTATATACCAGCCATTCCGCCCCCCCCCCTACGTGCAAATTTTTGAGCCACATATTTTTTGGTTGGTATGCCAATTACAGCATATCCCGGAAAAATATGAAAACTGCGAAAATGCGGAAATAGTATATTAAAATACAAGTTGCAGAAGGCCACATATTCCCGCACGAATTCGAAATTTGGCCACGAGCGACGAAGGAGCGAGTGGACGAACGAAAGAGTGCGAGAATAGCCTTCTGCAACGTGTGTTTTATACTATTTTCTCGATTTTGGATATTATTTTTCATTTTTAAAAAAAAAAATTATGAACTCTGTTAGTTGGGGATTTTTTATTTTCAAAATATGTCAGTTGGTGACACTTACTTACCAACCAACTGACAGGTGGATTCTATCATTTTAGAAGGTTTGACAATTTTGAAGGTACCAATAGGTATACCTTGAAAACTAAATGTCACTAAAAATCGTTGAAGAATGAGCTTCATTCTGCAACGATTTTGCGTGCGGCAATAATGACATTCTCACATCAAAATCGAGAAAATTGGTTTTAAAAAATTTATTCACATTTCAATGAAACTTTTCGGTGGAGAAGGGGTGTTTATAAAATATATATTGTAAAGGAATTCTTTTCTCAGTTTTTCATGGTTTGTTTATCGGTAAAATGAAACTATTAAATGAATTTTCCATATCTTTTTTATTTTTAAATCTGAAATTTAACACAA